TAGTTAATAATCAACCAATAATCACACAATCAAAGGAATTTAATATATTTATTAGCATGGTAATTAAGAAATTACATTTGTATTTTTGTCTAAGTTTTCATTAAAATCTGGTATAAATTTCAAAGATATTTTAATTTTTTGTATAAAGCTTAAAAAAAAAATAATCATAAAACATTCGTATTTTTGTCTAAGTTTTCATTAAAATCTAGTATAAAATTCAAGTAATTCAACTTTTTTTATTTAGTTTACCCAAAAAAAAATCATAAAACTTTCGTATTTTTGAATATATTTTTAATGGTACGAGTTTGCAGTGGTACGAGTTCTGATTGGTACGACTTCCCAGTGGTACGAGTTTACGTTGGTACGAGTTTACGTGGTACGAGTTTACAATGGTACGAGTTAACTTGCTTCTGTACAAAGTATGCATTGCTAATGGAAGTTCATTTAATTATCAAAAAACTAATGTTTTATAACCTTTTTCAGGGCACAAACCCACCATACAGAGACTTAAGTCTACTGCCAATCCCAGCCTATTTTCCTGGACCAAGCAAGAGACTGAATCGTCCGCAAAAAGAAAAATCAGGGCAGTTTCCTGTGAAAACAAAAGAACTAAACTTGATGAATATTGTAGTAGAAATCTAGAGGAAAGTTTTGATTGTAAAGTTGGTTTTCCTGAAGAAGTAATTCATACTGCAGACAGGATTTATGACTGTCCACCACCAACTGCCGAGCTAATGTTGAGCTTCACAGATGGAATTACGCAAACACCATCAATGCCTATATTTTCAGCAGAGAATTTTGAAATGAAGACACGTGACACAGCCATGCATTTTTATACCGGTTTAGAGTTGTATACTAAATTTTTATTTGTTTTGACCACACTTGGTCCAACAGCACATTGTTTGAGATACATATATTTTCAAATTGATAGGGTACCGGTGTCATTTGAAAATCATTTTTTTTATGACTTTGATGAAATTGATGCATTATACAACCAACTTTGAACTGTCTAGATTCTAGATTGAAACTAGTGTTAAGAATATTGTGTAAACATGGATTGTTTTTATGTCTAAACAGTGGCGTGAGGCTAACACTTGGCCATTTAGTGGTTTAGTCAGGTATTTTTCGCCATCCAACTTAGAATTAAAGTTTCCTACAACTTGGATTATTATTGACAGCACAGAATATCCCGTGATAAAACCTAAAGCTCCTAGAGCTCAGGCAACCTTTTCATCATATAAAAACAGAAACACTGAAAATACTTGTATGTTCGACACCTGGTGGTTTAGTCAACTATGTCTCTAATGCATATGTTGGTTGTACCAGTGACTATGAAATAGTTGAAAGATGTAGAATAGTTCAATTATGTGATCCAGGTGACAGTGTGATGGCAGACAAAGGTTTAAATGTGCAAGATTTGTTTGCTCACTTTTTTCAAAAAAAGAAACAGAATTAGTTCCAAAACTCTTATACGGGATAGAAAAGTCTCCAATTAACACGTGCACATAGAGCTAATTATTGGACTTGGCAAAACATACAAAATTCTAATAAATCCTATGAATGGAACTGAAACAAAACTTTCATCTGAAATAACATTTGGTTGTTTTATGCTGTGTAATTTTAGAACTTGTATTGTGCCAAAGGATGCATAAATAAAAGTGACGCAATGAAGTTTGTTCTGATATATATATATAAATATTATTTACAATTACATGCACATGTAAATTGTAATGCATATAAAAATAAGGAGATGTGGTATGATATTCAGTGAGTTTATCGAACCAAAGTGCATAAGAAATGGGTTAAGCAGTTACAGGTGTTACTGTCACCATACAATCTCCAACAATTAGAAAAACTTGTACCGTGTAAAAAATTTCAGAGATCTTACAACTAAGTTTTGTTGTCTCACCTTGACTTTGGTGAATTGTTTATATCTGTTGATGTAAATATAAAAAAGAAGATGTGGTATGATTGCCAATGAGACAACTCTCCACAAGAGACCAAATGACACAGAAATTAACAGCTATAGGTCACAGTACGGCCTTCAACAATGAGCAAAGCACATACCGCACAGTGAGCTATAAAAGGCCCCGAAATGACAATGTAAAACAATTCAAACAAGAAAACTAACGGCCTAATTTATGTACAAAAAATGAACGAATAACAAATATGCAACACATAAACAAACGACAACCACTGAATTACAGGCTCCTGACTTGGGACAGGCACATACATGTACATACAGAATGTGGCGGGGTTAAACATGTTCCCGGGATCCCAACCCACCCCCTAACCTGGGACAGTGGTGTAACAGTACAATATAAGAGCGAACTATAAAAATCAGTTGAAAGAGGCTTAACTCATCAGATGGATAAATACAAATACAAGTGGACGTGGCCGGGTAGTTGTACATCCAAACAACAAAAAGACACTAAGTACAGATCTGAGAGTACTCGCATTTACTGACAGCTAGTTCAAAGCCACAAACAACTGATAAAAAAATCTTGCATCTAAGACTAAATTATCAATCCGTAAGCTCCCTTTAGAATTTTATAAATTTTAGATTTTACATTATTGAGTTATGGGGTTTTATTCATTAAAAAGGGGGGGATTTTCCAGTTTTTGGACAACAACTCAAAAATGCTTTAACCAGTTCGCATGAAACTTTGGTGAATTATTTATAGCTATTGATGTAATCTCCCTATTGATTTTCATAAATTTCAAATATGACATTGAGAAGAAATTGAACTTTATTTGTTTATAGTCTGGCAAAAGATTTATTAAGTATTGCGCAACAGCACAGTGTATTGCACAACAGCAAGAAATCTTTAATTGAATATAAATTCAATTCATATAACCGATTTTAAGTTCTTTGACTACATTTATTCAGAAACTATAATATGTCAAATATTTAATTACAATCCAAATTCAGACCTGTATCAAGCTTGAATATTGTGTCCATTTTTGCCTCAACTGTTCAGGGTTGGACCTCTGTGGGTGTATCCAGCTGCGCTCAGCGAATCAGTTTATTACTTAATTAAGAACTCCTTTTTGTCGAGCCTGCGACTTTTGTCGCAGAAAGCTCGACATAGGGATAGTGATCCAGCGGCGGCGTTAGCTAACTTCTTAAAAGCTTTATATTTTAGAAGGTGGAAGGTCTGGATGCTTCATACTATCAAGTTTGTATATGGATGCCTCATGTTACGAAGTTTCCGTCAGTCACATGTCCAATGTCCTTGACCTCATTTTCATGGTTCAGTGACTACTTGAAAAAAAAGTTAAGATTTTTTGTAATGTTGAATTCTCTCTTATTATAAGTAATAGGATAACTATATTTGGTATGTGCATACCTTGCAAGGTCCTCATGCCCGTCAGACAGTTTTCACTTGACCTCGACCTCATTTCATGGATCAGTGAACAAGGTTAAGTTTTGGTGGTCAAGTCCATATCTCAGATACTATAAGCAATAGGTCTAGTATATTCGGTGTATGGAAGGACTGTAAGGTGTACATGTCCAACTGGCAGGTGTCATCTGATCTTGACCTCATTTTCATGGTTCAGTGGTTATAGTTAAGTTTTTGTGTTTTGGTCTGTTTTTCTTATACTGTATGCAATAGGTCTACTATATTTGGTGTATGGAATGATTGTAAGGTGTACATGTCTAGCTGGCAGGTGTCATCTGACCTTGACCTCATTTTCACGGTTCAGTGGTCAAAGTTAAGTTTTTGAGTTTTGTCTTTTTTTCTAATACTATATGCAATAGTTCAACTATATTTGGTGTATGGAAATATTTTATGATCTATATGTCAGTCACGCAGGTTTTTTTTTACCTTGACCTCATTTTCAAGGTTCATTGCTCAGTTTTAAGTTTTTGTGTTTTGGTCTGTTTTTCTTAAACTATAAGCAATAGGTCAACTATATTTGTTGTATGGAAGAATTGTTTGCTGTACATGCCTGCCTAGCATGGTTCATCTGACCTTGACCTCATTTTCTTGGTTCATTGGTCAATGTTTAGTTTACTTGGTTAATGTTAAGTTTATGTGACAGTTGTAATAAAGCTTTATATTTAGGACTATCAACATAATATCAATGATTAGTAAAGAAGGCGAGACATTTCAGCGTGTGCACTCTTGTTTCATTCATAAATTACTTTATACTTGGAAATATAATTTTGCTTGGAGTTATAGTTTCTAAAAAAAGTATTGTCATTGAAAGAGTTGACATGTTGCAATGTACATTTATTCTACATAGTTCTATGGTACTAAATCAAAAGTTTATATTAAAGAAAGAAGTCAAAGGTTTCCCATCATAGTTTAGTTACATACATTTTTTTTGTACCTGAGGTCGTTGAATATAGATCATTATATAAATAAGGAGATGTGTTATGATTGCCAATGAAACAACTATCATCCATACATTGTACTTACAAGTAACAAACCACATTTGCAAAGTTGAATAAAATACAGTTGATAACATTTACTTATTACTTAAAAGAAAATGCCAAACTATTTTAAACAGTATATGACTATAAACATAGATAAAAAAGGTACTAACTGGACATAATGCACTAGTTCATAAACAAGTGAGAACAATCGCCTTCATATAGTGCTCAGAATATGACATTCATAAAACTTGTTCAATATCATTAGAGAACTCTAAATCTTAAATACTGAAAGCCACCTCTGATAAGTACAATGTACTATGCAAGATAATGTTATAACTGGACTAAAAATACACACAACCTGTAATTAACTGCCTTTACAGCGCTTTCGCGCTTTGATTAAAAATGTGATTAATAAGGATGTGTGAGAATCAAATATAATTATTTGTTATATTTGATTATGCATAGACTATTTCTGTATGATTATCAAGTGCATTTGTGCATCTCTTGTTGTATTTGATCATTAATTCAGTGTGAAATAAATTTTATTCAGTTTTAAATAATTTCTCACTGTGCATGATATAATTGGTTTTGATATTTTTCAATGAATTCATTACAGAATTAACAGACCCTCCACTGTTAGATCCAGATGAAATAGATACAACAGATGAGGTAAAAAAGACATATCTGTGTGAAGATAAATGCAATTTTCTCAATAGTTTCACCCATAGAAAGTATTTTTAAACTCCCAAGTCAAAGATTTTCTTATTGTACCTACTTGAAAATTTAAAAACTATGGGGTGAGTTTATTAATGCAAAATATTTGACTCTGTACATATTCTATTTTTAAAAATTTTATTCTTATGTTTATCATAATGCATGATCTATCAGAGTTATATTACGCATTATATTTTTTTCCCATTTGCATTTTTAAATGCATACATTACTTTCAAATTTTTCAGTAATATAATTTATACATTGCTACTTTACCCTGATTGAATAAAAGGATTTAAAAGTTTGCATTTTTCATGTATATATGAAAATAAATGATGATTTAAGTAAAACTACTTTCAGGCAAGAAGTAATGTACCAAAGTTTAAAACACCTACAGAAGAAGACTTTGAGACTATTAAACTTATCAGTAATGGAGCCTATGCGTAAGTTTTGTATGTTTACTCGATTACGCTTTGAACCATTTTGTTTACATGTACTGTTAAAATGACGATTTTTATATTTTTTAAAGGGGCATTAGCTCAACTTAAATGGATTACCGTTGTAAACAGTTATCGATTAAAGCTTAGCAAATAAAGTTAGTATGTTATAAATCAAACTAAAGGGTATAAGTCAATCTTATGGTAATGAATTTGGCAGCTAATGCCCCTTTAATATGGGATTAATTTCGATGAGATTGAAGTTGAACAGGTAATTAATTTAAAAAAGGAAACAAGAAACTTTTAACAATAAAACAGAATTGAAATATTTATTACCTAATCTGCTTTATTTGTACAGATTATCTGCTGTATTTGTACAGATTCATGCAATGTTATTATGTTTCATTGAACTAAATCTGTGACATTTTAATTGTTTCAGGTCTGTGTATTTAGTTCGACACCGAGGAACTAGACAAAGATTTGCAATGAAGAAGATCTGTAAACAGAATGTAGTTTTGCGAAACCAAACAGAACAAGTATTTACTGAACGAGATATCATGAGCTTTACAGACAATCCATTTGTAGTTAGCATGTACTGTAGTTTTGAAACACAGGTAATTTAAAAACTGGGAAATCCATTTGTAGTTAACACAGTTTTAAACAGCTATTGGATAATGAAGAAAGTCTGTAAAAAAAGTCATGTTGAGAAATATCTATCTATTTTAATACATATTTGAAATAAGGTGAGTAAACTAATACCTACCAACAGTACATTCAGATAGAGTACCCAAGATGAATACCAAAGTACGTTTCGGTTGTCTCAAAATCTCATTTGCCTTATTCACTATAGAAAGATAGCAACATCATAGTAAGTTATAAGGTTGACATGGCTAGTACAGCCTCATCAGGACAGTTTATCATTGTGTGTATTGAAGTACAATAGTTGCTATTGGGTATTATTAAGTATCTTTTTCTGTTCTTTGTCCTGATGACACCACACTAGCAGCGAAATATGTCAACCTAATGAATAAATTACAATGCAGTAACTAGAATGTTGTTCTAATGTTGGAAGTAAAGTTTTGTAAGATGTTTACGGAAAGGTAAGTCTCAGGCATTTAGTTAACTAGGAAATAGAATTAATGTTATTTTTAAAGGCACTGTTCCAATTAAATATTGAAGTATTAGTTAGTACAGAGTAATTTTTTACTACATCAGACACTGACCAAGAGAAAATGTGAGTTAATCAACAGGGATACAAATACCTGAGGACTTGTGCATAGCTTTCATTTGAATAGTTTTACAGGAAAAGGTTAAGTGTAAGTAAGACAGAACAAATGTTTTCTTTATGTCAGTAAGATATAATTGACTGTTTGTAGAAACATCTTTGTATGGTAATGGAATATGTGGAAGGTGGTGATTGTGCCACTCTGTTAAAGAACTCAGGGGCTCTTGTTTTTGACTTGGCAAGGTAATTATGACATATTTATAAATATTTTCAACTTGGTAAATGAGGAATGGGTTATTTAGGAAGTGAACATTGGATCCTTAGGTAACTGATAGCATGATGAAACTGGATACTCATAAACAATAAGACAAGGAAATGATTTTTATTTATTTTCAATAAGGAATAGAATTTGAAGCATTTTTAAAAGTAAAAAAATAGTGAAAGTATTTTAAATTTAGAAGTGTCAGGCTATCTTTGGGGTGATTTGCACAAACTATGATTCCATTTAAAATGCATGAATTTTAGGCGATAGTGTCAAACTATTAGTTCAAGATAAGGAATTTGCAATACATTTATACATACTCATAAAAGGCTGCAAGTAAAAGTTTTTGCCCAGGCACTGAAAATATAGAAATCTTGTTTTATTTGCAACTATAAATAGAAAATGACTGCTGTTTATTTATAGGATGTATTTTGCTGAAACTGTTCTGGCATTAGAATATTTACACAGTTATGGTATAGTTCACAGAGATCTCAAACCAGACAAGTAAGTATATCAAATTATATTAACTTCTTTGACACATTACAAATATATTACCTGTTTTAATACAACAGTATTCTAATTTTCTACAGTAACCTAATAATTCCTTGAAATAGTAAGTTTCTATATAGTGATGAGAAATAATTTGACTTTTACATACTTATTTAGTAACCTGTGTTTGGTTTCTTGGTAGGAATTTAGTCTTGTGTCATGTATCTACAGAAATCTAATCAATTTAAATGGGAAAATGCTGCAATATGTATTAATAAGAACGAACTGATTTTATCTCAGCCAACATTATTCATTTGTATTGCTAAGAATTATTTATGGCCTACATCTTGTTTCAGTCTACTCATCACAGCTACTGGACACATTAAGTTGACAGATTTTGGTTTATCAAAGATTGGCTTGATGAGTTGTAAGTGGCATTTTATTGCACTCCTATGCATGCATGAGATAGCTGATCTTTACCTTTTGCAGATGATTTTTTAAGTCAAAAAATTAGCCTCAACTTATCAAATGACTTAAGGTATAAACTTCTACCTGTATTTAAACTTCCCAGCAATAAACACCCATCATGGAGGAAGGAAAAGGGAAACAACATGAGGATACTGATAATATTTTGGATATCTGTATATAAATTAAATCAAGACATCCAAGCGAGGAAGAACATGAAGACTTGATATTTGTTAAAAGCTCATACCAAGAATAATTTGAAACTTATCAAACGATGGCTGATGTATTAATGACATATTTCAGACAATATTAACACCTAGTCAATGGTCCCTTTATTCCATATGCTTGTAAATTAATTTTTCCAAAACTTAAAGCATTGGGAAATTCAGTTTAAGAGTCTTCCAACCTGTACAAGAGATGATTCCTTCTTATAAAAGGTCACATTTCAGTTTACACAAAATACAGTAAAGATGAAACTAATTTCTATTCAAGGACAACAGTTATTAATTTCTAATGACATTATATTATTTTATAGTGACAACAAATTTATATGAGGGATCAATGGACAAAGATTGTAAACAATTCCGAGATAAACAGGTTCAGGGAACACCAGAATATATAGCACCAGAAGTTATCCTTAGACAAGAATATGGTAAGTTTGTATCAAACAATGGTTTAAGAAGTCAATCAAACACTGATGTTAAAACTTTTTCAGTATCCTTAGACATAGATAAGAATATTGTTCTTTCAAACAATAATTTAGGAAGTTATTAAGAAACTAGTGTTGAAATATTTTCAGTATTGTTAGACAGAACTTAGGTACTTAGAAGTAATCCTTAGACAAGAATATGGTTATTTTCTTTCAAACAATGGTTTAAGAAGTCAATCAAACACTGATGTTCAAACATTTTCAGTATCGTTAGACGGTACTTAGAAGTTATCCTTTCAGAAGAATTTGGAATGCTTGTATCAAGATATAATTTCATGATTTTCTATTGTGGTTGTATTTATGTAAGGGATGATTCAATTTTGACAGATTTTCAACAATATCTATTTGTATAATTTTTCTGCTTCCAGCAATCAGTTGGTTTACAGTCATTGCTGGAATAATAAATAATCGACAAAAAATGTCAAATATTTTTTTTTTTTAATTTCTGAAGAAAAAAAAATATGACTGAAGTTAAAACTGTTTTAACAGAAGGATATACATTAGTCAGTAAATGTATCGTTTCAGGAAAACCAGTAGACTGGTGGTCTATGGGAATCATATTATATGAATTTTTGGTTGGAATAGCACCATTCTTTGGAGATACACCAGAAGAATTGTTCTCTCAAGTAATTAATGGTAAGTTCATTAGATATTGTAAATGGGAGTAAAGGCTGTAATTTTGAATGGCCGTGAAAGAAGCTGGCCACAACTGACAAAGCCACCGGATGAACGAAAAAAAAAAAAAAGAACAGGAGTAGATTTCCCTCTCTTGAGGTGTACATTGTGTCGTTGGGGGAAAAATAAATAATACTATTGACTGTATGATGAAATTACTGTTTGTTTGTAATATTAGATAATTTGTTATTTATACAAATCTGTTGATTTATCTATAAGAGTAGAAATTTTATGTTATGAACTCACAAATGAAAGGACTGATGGATCATTTTTCCAATTTCAAAATCAATGATTAGCAAATTGGCTATTACAGAAACTAAAGTATTCTTAATGATTCTACAGAAAAAAGGGAAACCTAAACATTGTAATGGATTAACACTGTCCTAGACAATGAAGAAACAATGGTGTAACATAATTTTGTTTTTGTGTACAAACTGAAAAATCTTTAAGATTTCGTGAAGATGGATTTCATAATTGATAATTGTTCAATATTAAAAGTATACTATACTAAAAAAAATAACTATAGAAAGAAAGCTGCTGATGAGATTAAAAAGCAATAATGCATTTCTTTTATTTGTTATTTGTTGATATTTTAGAGGAATTAGAGTGGCCAGAAGAAGAAGATTGGCAGGTACGAGATGATGCTAAAGACCTAATAGCTAACTTACTACAACATAACCCAATTAATAGACTAGGTTCTGGTGGTGCAGCTGAAGTCAAGGAACACATTTTCTTCTATGGTTTGGACTGGGATAATTTACTGAGGAAAAAGGCTGAATTTGTACCTAACCTAGATGATGATGAAGATACCAGTTATTTTGATCGTAAGTTTAAATATATATTTATGTTCGAATGAATTTTATTTTTGACAAGCTGTTATTTAGCTCTACATATATTGAGTTGTATTATTATTTTCATTTTTAGCATCGTCTAGAATAAATATGAATTATTTGTCACTGGATGTTATGCAAATAACAATAAATCAGTCATTGAAGACAGAATAAAAAACATGTTTTTATAAATCACAAATTTATTGATATCAAAATAATGATATCCCCTCTACAAATCAGAGCTTTCTGAAATTTGGCATCAAGCTTAATGTGAGCATGCTAAAGTGTGTTACGCGTTTTCACATCTTTCTCTCATCAACTTCTTGTTTACCATATGCTTATATATTCTTACACTTAGTGACCATGTAGGAAATTTTTGTTGCATTTTTTCCTCTAGAACTTCAAATCAGAGCTTCAAGAAATTTGGTATGAAATTTCCTGTGAGCATACAATACCATGAGATGCATTTTAACATCCATTACTCATCAACCTCATATTTGCTGTATACTTATATATGCTTACAAATAATAGCCATAATGAAATTTTTGTTGCATTTTTGGCAAGAATTACAAATCAGAGGTTCCTGAAATTAGATATTAAGCTTCATTGGAGCAAGCTATACTGTGTTCATTTTTTATTCCCCGGCCTTACAGGAGGGGGCATTAAGTTTTACCCTTATACATCCGTACGTCTGTTTGTCCGGAAATTGGTTTCCGTTCTCTAACTTTAGTTTGCCTCAACCAAATGTTATGAAACTTATACTCAATGCTTATTACCACAAAACACAGATCAAGTTTGAATTTCGGTGGCATCACTTTTACCATTCTAGAGTTATGCCCCTTTACAAATGGAAAAATTGCTGAGTTTTTTCGTTTCTGTTCTCTAACTTTAGTTTGCCTCAACCAAACATTATGAATCTTATAAACAATGCTTATTACCACAAAACACAGATCAAGTTTGAATTTTGGTGGCGTCTCTCTAACCGTTCTAGAGTTATGCCCCTTTACAAATGGAAAAATTCAGCAACCCATTCTCTAAATTAAGTTTGCCTCAGCCAAATGTTATGAAACTTATACACAATGCTTATTTTCACAAAACTCAGATCAACAATGAATTTGGGTCGCGTCACTTTTACCGTTCTTGAGTTATGTCCCTTTATAATGTTATATGCAAGCAGGGGAATTATCTGCGTCCCATGGACACATTCCCCATTTATTTTTAAATGTGAACAGATGATTATTGCTAGCACAAATTTATTTTTATTTCTTATGAATATTACAGCTCGTTCTGAAAGATACAATCATGATATAGAGACTGCAGAAGATACTGAGGACGAACCAGAAGATTCTCTCTTCCATAGTTTTAATTCATGTTCTCCTCGATATAGTAAAGTCTACAGTAAAATAGAAGAACTACATGAGGTAATTTCAGATGTTTTCCATAGTTTTAATTCATGTTCTCCTAGGTATAGTAAAGTCTACAGTAAAATAGAAGAACTACACGAGGTAAATTCAGATGTTTTCCATAGTTTTAATTCATGTTCTCCTAGATATAGTAAAGTCTACAGTAAAATAGAAGAACTACATTAGGTAATTTCAGATCTTTTCCATAGTTTTAGAAGAACTACATGAGGTAATGTCAGATGATATATACCTTGTACACATGCCTAGAATACAACAAATGTTTTTATTTTCACTTTGTTTTGTAACCACTAAATAGATATAATTGCCTCTGAACTGTTGGTCATTGATAGTATCATGCCCTCAGTAGTCAGTGCTTTGGTATTTACTGTGTTTTATCAGATACATTTTGATCAATATTAACCTTTACAAATGCTAACAATTTCAGCTTCATCAAGTAAAGCTGACCTAAGACAGTTTTTTATGCCCCTTTCAAAGATTTTGCTCCCCATATATTTGACTTCATACATTTGGTTCTAAGTTTTCCTGATGAAAGTTAATCCAGACAAGCTTTCAAACAAAGCAAATTCAATTTGTCTCATTTTGATTTATAGCAATACAAAATGACTAAAAAGTGCTGATATAAGGAAATAAGTCTACAAGAATTTTGTGAAATAAAAAGTGGTTTGATTATAGGTAAGGATACAAATACATGTACTTGTTTGTTAAATAAAGAAGAATGATTAAACTGGAATAAAGTATTTTGCTCATATGAAATGAAACTTGTAATTGTCATCAACTTATTTGATAAATGTTTTTTGGTCATAATTTCATATGTGAGCCTGTATCAACATATTGTATACTTTAGAATCAAGATGGTGAATGCAGAAGGAGACATTCCAGTGCTGATGATATGAAAATTAAAATGTTAGAGAAGGCAACATTAGAGAGAAAGGACTCTAACCTATCAGAAAGCTCTGACACATCATTAGAACTACAGTCTATCATGAGACAGGAGACATTAAGTACTGGTACAGACTCGACAGATAAAACTGATAGTACTATAATCAGAATGGATGAGGATGTGTTCAGTTCCCCTGAATGGTAAGCAGATCATTATTTTATGTTAATGTAAAATTAAGGTAATGTGGTTTGATTGCCACTGAGACAACTATCCACCAAAGACAAAATGACAAAAATGTGAACAACTACAGGTCATCGTATTGCCTTTAACCATGAGCAAAAAGAATGTTTTCATAGCTTATATACTTTTGAGTGATTCCTTCATTATTAAAATATGATTAAAAATACAAGATTTGATCTACACTAGTTTTAAAAAAAAATATGAAAATGTCTTTTAACTATTGATCATAAATGTGTAAGAGATTTACTTAATACTGAATGCAATATTTGTACTTCAGCACACCTAGATCCCAACATCCTAAGACAAGCACACCAGAGTCTGGCAAATCTGAAAAGGAATATACTGCTACCAGGAAAGAGAAAGCACCGCCTATTAAAAGTATGATTCCAAAGTTTGCTATCTCTTCTGATGATGACAATATCATAACAAGTCCTAAAGGTAGGTTGTTCTGTCATTTAGATATTTTTCCCAGCAGGGGTTTCAGTTTCAAGTTAGTGTTAACAGTGCAGAATCAAAAGGCATTTGTCCTTTTAACATATCGATTATGTTTGACCAATTTGAAGAATTCATCTCTTCAAACTGTTCATCTGGTAAAATATTTAATCTCATTCCTAAAGAGAAAGGTGATTAGTATGATGGAAGTGCACATGAATAAAAATATTCTAACCATTTATTTTCTTACATAATGAAAGTTTATATGATTTATATGTGGAATATGAATTTTCAGTGCATTTGTTTGTATTTTTTATGCCCCTGCCGAAGCAGAGGGGGCATTAAGTTTTGCCCTTGTCCGTCGGTACGTATGTACGTATAAACATCCATCTGTACATCCCCAAATTGGTTTACGTTCTCTAACTTGAGTTTGCCTCAACCAAATGTTATCAAACTTATACACAATGTTTATTACCACAAAACACAGATCAAGTTTGAATTTTAGGGGCGTCACTTTTACTGTTCTAGAGTTATGCTCCTTTACAAATGGAAAAATTGCTAAATTTTTCATTTTTTTCCAAAAATATCAATGTCATTAATCAAGTAATTTTTAAAATTGGAGTTATCTTCCTTTGTCCATGATTACAGATAAATCAACAACAATCAATGCTTTATACCATGCAATGTTTAATTTTGCCTTCCACTGATAAAACACAGATCAAGTTGAATTTGGGTAGTGTCACTTTAACCATTATTGAGTTATGCCCCTTTATAAATCGAAAAATTGCAAAATTTTTAGTTTCCATTCTGTAACTTAAGTTTGCCCCAACCAAACATTATGAAACCTATACACAATACTCATTACCACAAAACTAAGATCAAGTACAAATATTGTTTCCGTTCTCTAACTTTAGTTTGCCTCAACCAAATGTTATGAAACTTATACACAATGCTTATTACTACATAATACAGATTAAGTACGAAATTCAGTGGCGTCACTTTTACCATTCTTGAGTTATGTCCCTTTATAAACATAAAAATTGCTGAATTTTTCATTTCCGTTCTCTAACTTTAGTTTGTCTCAACCAAATGTTATAAAACTTATACACAACTGTTCTAGAGTTATGCGTGTTTACAAATAGAAAAAATGCTGAATTTTTCGTTTCTGTTCTCTACTTAAGTTAGCCTCAACCAAATGTTATAAGACTTACACACAATAATTATTACCACAAAACTCAGAACAAGTTCAAATTTGGGTAGCGTCACTTTTACCGTTCTTCAGTTATGTCCCTTTATAACTATATGATATGCAAGCAGGGGCATCATCTGTGTCCACATGTGGACACAATCCACATGTGGACACAATCCACATTTATTTAACAAAAGATTTGGGAGTATGATTCTCACCTTCAAAAGCAATTCTAGAAAGAAAATAAAGAAGAACTTATATCGTCTTTTTAGTGGAGATGCTCCAGACGTTTTATATTTATAATTCCATGCATCTTGTCTGATATCAAATAAAAGCAATTAAAAGCTATTCAGATAATTTATATATGTTGAAATCAATATTACAACAACAAAACTCTGAAAGTAGGGTATGTTGATTTGTAAATTTTACCAAAGTTATAGTGTATTTCGGAAACATATCTTACATAAAGAATCTTACAGTTTATTTAACATGAAAATTCTTTTTTCCCAGAATTATCCCCAGTTGACGAGAATAAAGAGAAGGAACATACCTCTTCTTCACGGAAACATATACAGAAATCAGCTTCCACAACAGCTTTAACATTGCTCATCAATCCAAATGGTAAGTCTGACATAGATATTAGTATATTCAACAGTCTGTAATTTTATTCTGACACAAAAATTATTATTCCTGATATTGATAAGCTATACTGAATTGTGGATGATTTGCAAATGATTTTTGTCTCGTCACGACAAAGTTGTGAAGGCGGAACCTTGAACAATGTATAAGTTTGTGATTAGGTCAGTCAAAGGGGAACTGCTAGTGGTAAATTTTCACCTGCTTTTCATTTTGTGTCGCAACTTCTGAAGTGAGGTCAAGCAAAAACAATCCAGATGGTTTATTACATTGTCTAAATTGATTCTTTCATGCATTGAGACATTTCTTTGTCATAAAAATAAGTTAAAATAAGCTATTCTTGATTCCAATTTTATTCAAAATTTAATTGTTTTACAATACTGAAAATTTTGTGAAACCATTATAGAACAAAGATGCTATGATCCAGAATTTTTAATGTCATGACCAGAATTTTGATTACTTACTTCTGCCGTTTTTTATTTGATATAGTTGTATTTTTTAGATGAATTTGTGGTCAAGCCAATGACTTCACCAGGAGGATCAAGTGCCAGCTCCAGAGACGGGTCCCCTTCACGAGACATTTCACCATTAGCTAGAAGTCTTAAACCACCTTTGATAATAAAGAAAGGGGCGAGAGGTTTTGGTTTCACTATTAACAGTATTCGAGTCTATCATGGAGACTCTGATGTGTACAGTTTACAACATATTGTCACTGTAAGTTATTATTTTCTATTCAAAGGAAAGTATCTTGTAAATGAAATTCCTTTGTCATAAAATTGAAATTTGAAATGCTGCCATATTTTCATAGATATTCATTTACACCATAATATCACTAAATGCATTTATCGAGCTTTGTTCTACAATGACCAGGAATCAATAGCATCAACAATTTGTTGAAGTTTGTGATAGGTCAGTTTAAGGAGAACCAGGACAATGCAGTTGTTCTTGCATTGGCACATCTCTTTTCCAATGAGATTATTTTGGCACCATCTGTTATAGTCAATACCGGTAGTCTATAAACTTGAAAACTTTTGTATAGTAAACATGTTAAAGTTTGTGATTCGGTTAGTTTAAGGTGAATTACTTATGGTAAGTCAATGATATTTGGTATGCAGTTGTATTAGTATTGGCATATCTCATTTCCATGTAGATTATTGTGCCACACCTCATCAGTCATGATCTATTGTTTACATATTGAATGTTTTTGATTAGGGCAGTTGAAGGGAATCCATTTTGTTAAGAAAAAGATATTTGGTGTGCAGTTGTATTAACATTGTCGGCGTATCTCGTTTCCTTTGAGATTATTTGGTCCAATCCCCTAAGTGTTTCATTGACTTGAAAGTTTTACATAGTTGCATGCTTAAGTATTGCCACTTTGAATTTAACATTTGCATTATACTAACAAAATTACATACAGGAGAGAAATATCTCTGTGTCATTAGGTTAATTATTCTTAAAAATCATATCAAGATCTAACGGGTTTAGATATTTATATGTCATTGGCTTTCACATTTTTGGCTTTGAGCGTTCATGGTGAAGGTAAATCTAGAAAAGCCCTTTTATAAAGTGTTATTTTCATTTTGCATAGTAATACTTTAGATCATTTAAATAGGATGACACAAAGGAAAAAGGTATTGTTTGTGGTAAGACTTGTTTATTAGATTTTCCATACTGTACATCATATTCTCATAGCTTATCATGCTTCTTAGGGTACACACTTAGTCTTATTAAGGTAGAAAACATGAAGATCCTGATTTGATAAAAAAAAAAATTGATTTAAATATGTAACAGTTTGTTTTAATCAGTTACTTTTCTTCAAAAAAGACCCAATGATTACAAATGAAAAGTTTATATAGTTTGTTTAATGTTATATTTTGTATCTAGAAATCAATTGTTTTGTATATAAAGATATAGCATTTTTATTTTTGCCATATAAAGAAATTTCAAAACGATTTGTTCATACTTGAAGATGTATTGATTGTGACAATTTATGCTATATTAAAATATTACTGAAATCTCTTCCCTTCAATCACACAGATTATTTCTAAGTTTGAGATAATTGAGCAGTATCTTGTTAACATACAAACTTAGTGTGAAATAGTAATCAGGCATATGCAAAAGATAGTGGGGTTTTATTTTAGGGATTTTTGTTTCACTGCAAAAGTAAACCAAAGTTAGCACCTCACAAAAATGACCAGCTATATATAGATGGTATATATTCCTGCAATTATAAGTTATAGAAACCCCAACCAAGTTAGGCACAAAGTCTGTGGCATATATACCCAATAATGGACCCATAAACCCATTCCTGAAGTACAAAAACAATTTTATATCCTTTATCCTAACTAACAGTTATAAGAACATTAAATTAATCTTCTTGATAAAAAATATGACTATTCAAGATAACAGTATAAGCCGCTCAGCATAGTTCATTGTAAAAAATAGTTTCTCAGATGGTCTTAATTCCCAGATTAAACAGGAAAGACCTAGGAAAAAAGTGTTCTTTAATTGTTTTAATTGTCTCTACTATGCATACAAAAAAATATGTTTAGGAAATTTTTATGAGACAGCACTCCAAGAAGAAATTTTCACCAAACATTAAATATTGGAGGTAATTTGCAAAGTTGTAAATATTTGTAATGATACAGGTATATTAGCATAGTTTTGATTATGAAACAAAGGCATATATCTCTTTTTCAGTCTGTCGAACAAGAAGGTCCAGCGTATGAAGTTGGCCTTCGTCCAGGTGATCTCATAACACATGTAAATGATGAGCTGATTCATAGTTTACTGCACACTAATGTTGTAAAAATGATTCTAAAAAGTGGGAAGGAACTGAGAGTCCGGACAGTTCCACTTGAGAAATCAGGTATAGAAACAATAGTCAGAAAGAAACGTGCTCATCCAGGGAAAATGGCTCGTAGAGCAACAAAGAAGAAAAGTGCAAAGGAGAAAAATACTGAGAAAAAGAAAAGTAGGTCTTTATTTCGCAGACTAAGTACAAAAAAGACTGATCATATTGTTTTACCACCAGGACCACCACCAACAGGAAGATCTCACAGCATATCAGCATTTAGTAAATCTTGGTCTTGTGGTGATAGCAGCCATGGAATGGTACGGTCATCCCGCTCTCTTCCTATACAAATGCCATGGTCACCAGACTCTTCTGCAGCAAATTCTTCCAACAGTAGCTCACCTAGTTCAAGTACTCCAAATTCTCCAGCAAGTAACTCCTCTCACTTTGGTCGACCAAGTTCTCTGCATGGACTAGCGAAACACAAGAAGCAAGGAAGTTTGAAATCACCACATAGGAGGAAATCAGTTCATAATATTCCTCTATCACCTCTGGCAAGGACTCCTTCACCCTCACCATTGCCACCATCACCCACCAGAAGTCCTAGTCCATTAGCTTTTACACAATCTTCTGCTGTTTACCATGCAGGTACCTCAAATATGCCACAACAAACTTTTCCATCACAGCTTAATACTTCTGGAACCAATTCGTCTTCACCACCAAATCTGTCTCGGAAACATTCTTTTACAAGACCAAAAAGTTGTGAGCCAAGTTCACCATTGTTACGGAGAGCCTTATCACCTGACAGGTTACATCCTCAGTCTGCAGAAAAAACAATCTTGCCGCCAAGAAAGGGGTCATTACAAGAAAGGAAATCCTCTCATTTTGAGTCTTTGTGAAACCAGTATATAATCAAGGCATTAACGCATAAAATTCTTACTGTTAACCAACTTGGACTTGAAACAGACTAGTTCGTATTATTACTTCCAAATATTTTCATGTGCAGCTTAGTATTCTTTAGTGATTTATAGAATTATTAGCTTGAGTTATTGTGATAATGAATTCTAATATAAATGCATTGTCTTCAGTAAATATATGTATAAATGTTGTTGAAACATTTTATTTACAAAGTTTGGTAATTGTGATTTATATAGCATTATTACACCAGATCAAGACAATATAAGTATTAGTCTGTTTCCCTTCATCAAAATAATACTATAACAGCTGTCATCATATTTTCCTGTTTACTCAAAACTTATTATAAACAATTTCTATAAGATTCAGAATAGTCTAAAGATGGAAATTTACATGTTAGTATTATATCTCATCACATTGAATGCATGTTTCATCCAATTTTTAATTTGGATTTTTCATTGAATAGTGATATGCAAATTATTAAAGAAGTTTTTTTTCAATTTTTTTCCAGTGGAACAGACTGTTATATTAATATTTTCATTTCAATAATTCTAATGTTTTTATCACTCTAAAATGCATTTACTTATGTATCGTAACATGATTTTAGCTTCCAAAATGCACAATTCTTATAGTATAAAGGCTCAAATTAAGGATACATGTAGCAAATCTCTGTAGTCATTCCATTTATTGCAAATAAACAGAGCTATTATAGGCAAAGAAATCACTGTGGTCATTTTGATTGTAAATAAAAATTAGTCCCAATCTATTAATATAATTCTATAAATAGACATGGGATATTAATCAAACTTAACTGTGATGTATACTTAACTACTAGGTGCTTTCAATTTTCGGTGTATCAGAGATAAATGATGTCTTAATTAATTAAATTATGTTAAATGGCATTTTTTTTGTTATTATGAGATTATTCCCATATCTAATTTTCAAACCAAATCTTTAATATGTAGTATCAGTGCTGTATTACTTTGGTAGTGCTCTGTATGAAAGTGTAAGTTGTGGCTGTGATTTTTTTTATATATTTATTCAATGTTTGATCTTTCTTTTTGTATATATCTAGTAATATTCATTTCACCTTATAATATTCATTTGTGAGGCATTCATATAGAAGGTCTAATTGATGCTGCAGACTCTAATGTTTAATTGAGAATTTAGTCAAGTGGAAATTATTGAAAGAATAGATTACAAAATTAACAGAAGAATAAGCTCCCCAAAATTAATAAAATTGCAAAAAAATAAGGTATCTTAACCATATATAGTTGATACTTATATTGGGGATTGAGTAAATGTTAGATGCCATAATAATATTATACATTTTGTTTACATTTTGATATTATTCTACAGTCCACTTATTAGGTAATTTATCTGTTTGTTGAATAAAATCAAAGTTAGCAAGTCTTTATAATATAACTGTCCAGTGCTTTTAGTATTTGGTTTTATTGTAAACTTTTTTTTTAAATTCTTGTAAGTGTTACTAAATCAGTACAGAAATGATGCTATAAAGAATGCTATGAGTATTTTTTTATTCTTTAATTATGCATAAACTTTTTAGGGGGAGGGTTAAAACTTTGCTTTGAATGACTTTATATTTGATGTTACTAAATGATTGAATTGGTGTATATATATTATTGTTAATGTGTACAGAAGTTTGAAAATTAGATATGGCAGTTGTTGTAATCATGTGATATTGTTATGTCTGTATATTTTTGTATTGATCTGCTGCAGTCATTGTCTCTTGTATGCACATTTATGGAGTACAACAAACAAATAAAATTTCATGGCATGATATTACAGAAGTACCTGAAACATAAGTTCTTTTTTTTCCATCAAGTTCAGGCATCCATCCAACAGAATGAAGAGTCGAATGATGTTTCACAAGACATATATTGAAACATACTAAATTAAAAAAAAAATATAACTTATTTTTTTTTTTATAGTCAAATCTGCTTGGTGTACTCCATATTTTCACTTTATTATAAAATGATCTCAAAATCATAAGCAGCTGTATATCACATTGTCATTATATCATTACAGTCCATGACATTTAATTCATTGTAGCATGGAAGTAATATTGAAAGGAATAACAACGTCGTCACTTCAAAGGTTTCATCCGCGTTACCGCCCATCTTTCGATAACTCGTTAATTGGTTTAATATATGGCATGGTAATTGACTCTCGACATGTGATAGATCAAATCACTGACACTTTTCGGTCATTTTCGTGTTCCCGGAATTTTACGAATAGACCGGTTGTTGTCGTATATATGTTCGAAGTAACCCGAATAGTTCACTTGTTACATTCCGCTGCTGTACGCTACCGAATAGAGTCAGTCGTTCAATGTTGATTTAGTCTATTTTCCCTATTTATGTCTTTTTCGATCTTAATAGTTTAGGCCGACAGTTATCACATATGGAATTTAAAAAAAGGGTGGATCATTTTCGATTTTAATATCTAAAACCAGTTAATTAAGAAGCCATTTCTGAAAGTTAAGAAGATGATTGTACAAAAAATATGTTTCGACTCCCTTTTATTAAATACGAACAAATCCAAGTCGTTCGTGTATACCAGGCAATTTAAATATTCACAATTTTAAACGTTTCTATTCTTTAATTTGTACATAAACTAATTCATATACAATAAATTTGCGGTTAGACAGATAGTGTCAAGCTCATTTTGTTTGGGTGATTTCTTTTTTGCTGTAACGTGCTACATTAATATTATTATTCAATTGTAAACACTTTTTTAAAACATATAAATTTAACATGTTTACGAACTTATCATCCCGATTTTAATTGTCCAGTTTCAATAATGTAATCAATTACTTGAAAGTAAATATTTTTATAAATCTCGATAAACTTGGCACATTTCAACAGTAAAATATTCTATGTCTACATTTGTCTACATTATTTTGTTCAACATCATGTGAAACCTGATCGCTTCATCGTTATTACCTGTTTTACTCATGATCCGCTTTTACCCGGAAAACACTTTTAAATCAGTTTAAAACAAACAGTGAAAAGCAAAAATATGCAAAAATAAATATAATTGTCCATGTTAAACTGTTGTAGTTTAAACAATTCTAGTCCGTTTTTCAAGTTTTTTACATCATTCGATTTCTTTTTGAAGGTAGAAGTTTTATATGATACAGCGCCACTTTGTTATTAATAAACTAGGGATTTCCCACAGGTGATTTATAATTACCGGACTCGATAAAATCACGTGACTGATAAGAAATTCCAGATGCCATTTACAACCGCGGTATCACAGATAGTAACCAAAGGGGTCTTGCCGCTGAGACTATAATTGGATAAAATCATATGACTTTAGTACAGAGCTCTGCAGGCCATAAATACATGATAATTAGTCGTTGTTATTCCTTTTAAATATTACTTCCATGATTGTAGCATGTCTGATAGAATGTCCTTATAATAAATTTTTTTTCACATCTGAATATCTACTAAATTGTTTATACTTTTGATAACATAACTTTGTTATCCTTTATGTAATAGTGTCAAATTGACATTTTTAATTGGCAACAAATATTTTAACCTAAATTTCTCACAGCTTTTCAAGTCAAATATATATTTCATATGGTAAAAATACATGTTGGTTCTTATTTCTAATTTTTTTCAAGATGTATTTAATTTACAATTCAATGTCTCCAAAAAAAAAAAGAGAGAGGAATTTGAGAGAAATTTTATTCAAAGAAAGTATATAAAAGCTTAGAAGGAATTGCAGGAATATTTGTGCATTTGTATCTAAGATAGTATGCAAGTATTCCTCTATTGTAACTCAAATGATAAAAAAATGAGACATCTTTGATCAGAAAATGCAATTAATTTGTAGGAATTTTATTTATTTCAATTTTGTATTTTGATCTTACAGAAATATATTATAAAAGATATATACAGAAATTGTTTGATTATTTATGAATTTAAAATGATCTTGAATAATAATTGGAGATAACTTAGATTATGTAGACTTATAAAAGGTTGTACTGTACTGTGAATTTATTCATTTTGTTATGTAGCAAGAAAACAATAATGGGAATCAGTTTTTTCTTCTTATTGTGTTAAATAAGACTTATCTTCTAGTATTAATTTCAAAATTCTATAATTTAGTATTTATTCCAGTCATACATAAGTGCTTTTCCCTAGCAAAACATTTGCATTTTGCACAACTTGCAACTTTTATACACCTTATCGCTGTTTATTCCAATGCGGATAAGTTCTGAAATTACACAACTTTTCCATGACGTCACAATCCAGTTGAAGCTATCTGGGGCCCTGTTTAAACAATGTATTGCTCATAAAACTTTTCAAAGAGACATCTTTATAACACTTCAAACAAAGCATTTTTATGACTTTAAGTTGTGTTTCACAGAAATGGATCATAATATATCAAAATTTCAAAATGTTCACTTTCTAAACTTTTTCCTCCCTCAGCCCATTACTGATGACCTTTGTTTTTGCGACACTTGACCAAAACAGGAAGTTGTCTAAGTGACTGTTTTTTTCCGGAATGGTCTAAATAACGATAAGGTTTATTGAAATAAGGCTGTTGACATATTTTTTTTAAATGTATTTTTGGAAATTGCATAATATGAACTATATTTTGGGAAAATAGTCCATATTTTTTGTTTATACTCTAATACTACCTTAAGACACATTTTAGAATACATAATGCATCTTAAAAACCATAAAATTGTTGTTTAAATTTTGAAATATCTAACAAGAGTTAAAAAAAATATCACAAGCCTCCCACTTCATAAGATCATAAGTTTTAGATTAAATAATGCTGTACGTCATACTTTTATATTTTCTGATATTTTTCTTCTTCATATTTGCATACATTGTATATTAATTTTTAACTATTTCTGTTAAGCAAGTGTGTATATTTTCTCATTTCTTTTTTTCCAGTTCTGGTTGAACTATAACATAGAAATGGTAATTCCAAATTTTCTAAACATTTTAAAACCACTATATTACAGAATTGCATGTATAAGGGACCAAATCCTTTTGTGTCACAATAAAGAGGACAACAAATAATTCAGTTAGATCAGCAAGTTTTCTTTTGTTTGAATTTTGTTTAGTTTATGATATGTATAAATATTGAGTCTAATGAATTAATGCTTGTGTTAGTAATAAAAATGAAACCTAATATTCAATTTTTTTTTACCTAATTTTCCTTGTAACATTTTGATAATTACAAACTGAATTGTCACGTTATTCAACAACAATTAAGAATCTTCTCTTTTTCCTTGTTGACTTAGTACTAAACAGTGATAGTAAGGAAAAGTTTGTATTTTTTCTATATTTTTTTATAATTAAGTTTTCACTAAATGGTGTTTATATGGTAGTAAATCATTTATTTTTTCACTTATTTATAGGAGAATATTTTTGTAATATTTCATTTAATCATTATACAATGTGATAGTTCATTGCTGTGTTACAACTAGTCACTGCCTGTATATAAATGTAGTAGCTATTCTTCATTCATGCATATTATAGATGTTTCAGCTAAAACTGAAGTAAAAAGACAGAAAACTTGTGTGGTCTTTTATTTCTTAATAATGAACAGTTCAAGAAAAAAGTCATGCTAAAACAATTACCAGTATTAAAAAAAATATTTTCCTGTTACATATGATAATAGTTAATGATTTGAGTTTAAAGTTTTGTGGTAGCTGATCTTGTATTAACTTGTAAGTGAACATTACAATCCAATAACAGACAAGAGATAGCTGATCTCATCTAACTGTTAGAGGACATTACATCTTGTTTAACTTGTTAGAGGACATTACAATCAAATAACAGACAAAGTTAGCTGGTCTTGTCAAACTTAGGAGAGCATTACAATCAAACAACACAACAGATAGCTGATCTTGTCAAACTTTTAAGCAAACATTACAATCCAATAACAGACAAAAGATAGCTGATCTTGTCAAACTTGTTAGAGGATAATAACAATCAAATAACACAAAAAAGACAGCTGGTCTTGTCTTATTTGTTAGAGGACATTCCAATCAAATAACAGACCAAAAATAGCTGATCTTGTCAAACTTGTTAGAGGACATTACAATCAAATAACAGACAAAAAGAAGCTGGTCTTGTGAAACTTGTTAGAGGACATTAAAAATCAATAACATAAAAAAAGATAGCTGAACTTGTCAAACATGTTTGAAAGCATTAAAATCAAATAACAAACGAAAGGTGGCTGATCTTGTCAAACTTGTATGTAAACATTACAATCCAATAACAGACAAAAAATAACTGATCTTGTCAAATTTGTTAGAGGACATTACAATTAATAACAGACCAAAGATAGCTGAACTTGTCAGACTTGTAAGAGGACATTAAAATAAAAAAACAGTCCAAAGATAGCTGATCTTGTAAAACTTGTTAGAGGACATTACAATCAAATAACAGACCAAAGATAGCTGATCTTGTCAAACTTGTTAAGAGGACATTACAATCAAATAACAGACCAAAGATAGCTGATCTTGTCTAACTTGTTAGAGGACATTACAATAAAATAACAGACCAAAGATAGCTGGTCTTGTCTAACTTGTTAGAGGACATTACAATAAAATAACAGACAAAAAGAAGCTGGTCTTGTCTAACTTGTTAGAGGACATTACAATAAAATAACAGACCAAAGATAGCTGGTTTTGTCTAACTTGTTAGAGGACATTACAATAAAATAACAGACCAAAGATAGCTGGTCTTGTCTAACTTGTTAGAGGACATTACAATAAAATAACAGAGCAAAAATAGCTGATCTCTTCAAACTTGTTAGAGGACATTACAATAAAATATCAGACCAAAGATAGCTGGTCTTGTCAAACTTGTTAGAGGATATCACAATCAAATAACAGACCAAAGATAGCTGGTCTTGTCAAACTTGTTAGAGGACATTACAATAAAATAACGGACCAAAGATAGCTGGTCTTGTCAAACTTGTTAGAGGATATCACAATCAAATAACAAACCAAAGATAGCTGGTTTTGTCAAACTTGTTAGAGGATATCACAATCAAATTAACAAACCAAAGATAGCTGGTCTTGGAAAATTACAATCAAATAACCAACTACATAAATATAATCTTGTCAAACTTGTGATGGACCATTACATTCAAACACCACAATTATTTGGTCTGGTCAAACTTGTAAGGAAACATTACAATCAAATAATAAGACCACATATATTAGATCTTTTCAAACTTGTAAGGGGAGAATACAATCAAATACATATTTGATCTTTCTGAAACCAACATGAAACTAGCATACAGTGTATTACTAACAAAACTGAACTTAATGGGAGTCACTTACTTATGGAAATAGGGTTCAAGTGACTGATCAAAGTAACATAAATAGTTTTACTTTCTACTTAAAGCAAGTGAATATTTACTCTTATCATGCAGCACTGACTCATAAGCATTGGGACAAGGTCAAGTGACCACTGTCGCATGGGAATATTTAAAAGGATTTTACAGATACTTGATCGATTACTTATTGTAACAGAAAAATAAACCATCATCATTACTACATAAATCTGAACCATAAAAATGAGATTCGGTTAAGCATGTATACATAACAACAGTCATGTAGACCAAATACTTCTAACCTTTTACCTAAAGTAACTGAGAAAGAGTTAAAATGACAAAAAAAACTTAAATATCAATGAACCATTAAAATGAGATCAAGGTAAAATAGGCATGAAGACCTTACATTTATTCACAGACCAAATATTAAAAACATATCAATTTTTGTATCTGAAAAAAACTTTCCTGTCCATGATTACTTGACAAATTAATCAATCATGTCAGACTGGCATGTACACTTTTCAACAATTTATTTAATGTTTTACTTATAGTTGCTTTACATTCAATAGAGACAACTTCATATTGATGAATAATCTGAGGACAAGGTCCTGTGACCCTTGTCAGATGAGCATTTATATTTTTAAAAGAATTCTCTAGACAAGATGAAGTGGAGTAATGTCCTGTTATGCATTATTACACCATTACTTCTCCATTCTTTTAGTAGTTGTGAATAATAATTAACTGCAAAACTGATCTTATCACAAAAACTTAAATGTCAGTTAGTATAACCCTGTTCCAAAAGAAAGGGTATTTTGGTAAAACTGGTTTACCTATGACACCTATGTCTTTCCATTCCTGCATGTTTCTTACACATTTGTCTCTGCTTCTTCCAGTTATGCCATACTGTTTGACAAATTTACATGTGCACTTATTGTTTAATAATTCTTATATGATTTGCATATTAGGGAATACGTTGATATGATTGCTCGAGAGGACTTCCGGTAGTTGATCTTGACGTTGTTTATTTTTCGATAGACGACGTTGACCGAACTTCTTTTCGTAACCAATGTAAACAAGATGGCAGCGATAATAACACCGACATTAACAAAATTATTTTCACTGCACGTTAATCGTTAGATTAAATAATAAACACAAAATCATTCGTTGGAATGATAATAAGTGTTTTTGTAGTTTATTTTTTATCAGATAGCAAATTTCATGGAGTACATATTTTTTGCGTTAACCAACAAATATATTCATACACCAGGCCTATTCAAGGACACAAATATACAATTTACGTGTGATAAAGGTTACGAGTGTGGAAAAATATATTCCTTATCTCCAATTTTAAAGAATTATAAGGATTAAACGCCTTTTTAAAGGAATTTATTGGTGTATAAACTGGACCAAGTCACTCACAAACATATCATAAAAGTCCTTCGGACTTTATTCGGACTTTTATTTGTTTGTGAGTGAATTGGTCGAGTTTATACACCAATAAATTCCTTTAAAAAGGCGTTTAATCCTATACAAAGAATCAGATATTAAGTGTCATTTTGTGTCCAAATTTATTAATGGAAAAGGTCAACTGTTAGTTATTCCTTCACAAGAAACCCCTTAATTTTGCTGGAATTCAAGCTACATACATGCACTATATTTTCTACACAATAAATTAAGAGATTCACTTGTTGTCGAGGATCAAGTTGCAAGTTACAAAAGTCGATTTGCGAGTTACGAAAGTCGAGTTGCGAGTTACGAAAGTCGAGTTGCCAGTTACGAAGGTCGAGTTGCAAGTTACAATAATATTATGTTTCTCTAATTTCTTAAGAATTATATATAAACGGTCGAATATATAAACGGTCGTGTCGTCTGATTTTTGAAACAGAATTTTCAGGTTTACTTCGCATTTAATAAACAAAGCATACATGTACCCGAACTTAGTTATACACTGCATGAGGAAGGGTCCCGGTATTTTTATTACAGGATTTGAAGAGTTATGTGATATAAGAGTCTATATGTTGCAAAGTCACGCACGCTTTTCTTTCATGAGAACGACATTGGTCATTTTCTAAAATAAAACAGGATATACTGTAGATATAAGACAAAATGTATACCGTACTGAACAAATCAAACATAAGAAGATAAATCATGTAAACAAATGAAATGTACCTTCAAACAGGGGCGGATACAGGCGGGGGCGTGGCGCCAACGTGAATTGATTACTCATCAACTGAACTACGGTTTATTTAAGTTCTATAAATATTATATACTTCAAAGGAATGTGTCAAACGCGGTGATGCGCTTGATGACAAGTATTTTGACCGGTAGGTCTTTTCACCACCGAACACCTCCGAACACCACCGAACACCCCATCTCTTATTGTTATAAATGTGACCTAAATATAATATTTAAGTTATTAATTCAACAAATAATAAGGTTAAGAGAACAAATATCTACATCGAACAGAAAAGGAGAGTCTATAACACTACAACTCTGCAAACCACCACTGGACACCTCAAATATTTTTTTTCCTCATTTTTTTCTTCTTTTATAAAATAGTTGTACCAATGATAAGAAAAGAGACATGAACAAATGTAAAATATTTCGGATAACTAATATCCTTCATCAGTAATTGATGTCAAATGATTCTTATACACACACAATGTAATCCGGAAAAATAGTGATGAATCCGGAGACGTTTTTCTTTATTGATTATAGGCTTGATTATATTGATAATCGACTTTAACAAAAAAATGATGCACATAAACATCTAAAAATTTGTTAAATTAGACGTAATTTAATTGATTTTACCGTTTTATTGTAAGAAACCCTCATAAATTAAAGACCAAACAGCCTATTCAGTTCAACCAGTGATTTTTCCTTAAAATTTTGTGTGAAGGTATTTCATGATTTGAGGAAAAAAATTGGGGGTCACCGACTTAGTTTTGTAACTATAGCAACCTCAGTTTTGTGTCTTCCCGAATATTAACATGATATTTGCTTGTTATTTAAACTCTCAAAAATCCCTTTATATCAAACATACAAGCATAATTCTTGTTTTACGTTCAACAGTAGATTTGTGTCTATCAAATACAGGTTCAAGAATTTAAGACTCTTATTGTTTTGATCTTTGAAAATATGATTTATTTCATTCCCGCCCAAAATAAAACGTAAGCCTTGAATGAAAAACATTTCCAGTATTAAAAAATATCTACCAGTGATTTCTTCAT